GAGCCGGCCTGGAGCGGCTCACAGCCCTGGGAGGAATGATTGCTGCGGGCTAGCAGCATACATGTCTGCAGGACGCACGCACACGCGCCAGGGGGGCAAGGTGGCGTCTGTGTTAGCTGAAAGAGGAGCCAACACGTGTGTTTGGTTTATTGCAAAAAGTCAGTGCTGAGTGGAAGATTGAATAGCTCTCTTGGAAGAGCTTCAGAGCCTTCTAGGTGGGGACGTTCATTTTCTTTATCAGACTTGGTAATTTGGGGATTAAAAACATCTTGCCAGTCAGTGTGGGTGCTCCCTGAGGAGGGCAAGGACCAGACCTGTCTGTGCCGTCCCGAGTTTGCCGTGTGTGGTGGGTTCTGGTGGGATGGTACTGAGGTGGGTGCTGGGTGTTTTTGAGAAATGCGAAGTTAACTGGTGGGGTTTACAGAATCAATGAAGTAAAGGAAACTGGGTAACCGAGTATGTCAAATGGACATAAAATCGGAGTCATTGTTTTTAGATGTGTGAATTCCCACTTTAAGATTTTTAGTGCTTGCCAAATTTAAGGGTTTTTTTATGTGCACTTCTGGAAACAGAATGACAGTGGGTGTAGCTGGCAGGGCAGGGGGAATGCAGTGTCTGGGGGGTTTGAAAGGCCTGGGTGATGCCTGTGACCTGCCTTTTCAACTTGAGCCTCTTGCTGATCTCTGGTAGATAATTACAGTCCCCTACAACCCAGGCAAGGCGCTTGGAGGCTGTGCACAGTGTCTGGAGATCCTGAGTACTCAGGGTTCTGTTGATAATGTTGATAATAATTTGAGGTGAGGTGTGACTAAGGTGTAGTGCAAGTTGACCGAGAAGGGGTGAAAGGCCATGGTGCCTTGTTTTCTGAATTCTCTCTGGTTTTTTGAGACAGGGTTTAACTTCATAGATGGGGCTGGCCTCCAACTCAGATCCGCCTGCCTATGCCTCTTGAGCACTGGGAAAAAAGGCATGCGCCACCACTGCCCCACTGTTTGCTGAGTTCTTTGAGGCTGTCGGCTGCTTCTCTGTTAAGGTGATAGTGTTTGAATATCTGGAAGCCTGTGGGAAGGGGTTGGGCAGACATAGGGAGTGCTGGCTGCCCTTGCTTGTGGGGGCTTCTAGTGCTGTCAGGGTCCCCATCCATCCAAGCTGCTGGAAGTAGCAAGGGTCAATTCTTTGTAAGAGTAAGTGCTCACACACACAGCAAAAAACAGAAGGGGGCTGGGCATGGGGCCATGCAATTTATTGAGAGTCTCACTGAAGGCCTGACCACTACAACCAAACAACCTGGCATCAGACATACCTTCAGTACTTGCAGCCTTGAGAGCAGAACATGGTCTCCCAGGAAAAATGAGTGACACAATGTGGAGCCTGGGGCAGGGGCACATAGGTGTTTTGCCTTCGTGTCTGACTACACATGTGTGCTGTGCCTGTGGAGGTCAAGATCCCCCCAGAATTGGCACTTCAAGTTGTGAGTGCTAGGTCCTCTGGGAAAACAGCCATCCTCTATCTTACCATTTAAGCAATTTTGTGTGTGGCTGTCTACTTAGCCAGGTGTATTGGGGGGCACGTGGTCACCTTTTGGGGTGTAGATGGTGGTAGGTGAGGTGTGTGCACTATTCAGTTTGGTGTTGGCTGCTGCACATGGACCTCACTGTCAACTTGTCCAGGTAGTTGTAACCCTTGCAGGTCCTGAACACTCCTCGGGGTTATATCTGGGCCTTAACGTGAATTTCTTCGTTGATGTGAACGTTCAGGCTTTGAATTCTTCACAGGGCAAAGCATAATGCCTGAAACTGGAGGCTGCTTTCATGGCGTCAGCTTCAAGTTACTGGTCCAGTGTGGCCAGAATGGTATTCTGGAGCAGTAATCTGGGAAATGGCAGAGTGCTGTATTCCCTATAGGTTTTGTCCTTACAGTATTGATGGTAGGTTTAGCTTCGTAACTCAGGCTGGCCAGTGACTAACAGGCCTGCCTTGTCCTGAGTTCGGGGATAATGGGTGAATGCCCCCACAGCCAGTCTACACTTTTGAATAATAGGTTAATAAGAAAAAAATATAAGGTTAAACCAAACCTCATTCCCAACTTTTCACCCCAGGGTGTGGGCCGGAGATATGCCCACGTGGTGTTGAGAAAAGCGGACATTGACCTCACCAAGAGGGCTGGAGAGCTCACGGAGGACGAGGTGGAGCGCGTCATCACCATCATGCAGAACCCACGACAGTACAAGATCCCAGACTGGTTCTTGAACAGACAGAAGGACGTGAAGGACGGAAAGTACAGCCAGGTGTGTGGGGGTGGCCAGTTCAGTTTGGGGGTGTCAGCTGAAACTGGGTGAGGGAGTCAGAGGTAAAGTTGGCGTCCCCTGTCCCGGAATCCAGGTTCTGGCCAATGGTCTGGACAACAAGCTGCGAGAGGACCTGGAGCGACTGAAGAAGATCAGAGCCCACAGGGGGCTGCGCCACTTTTGGGGGTGAGTGGGGTGGAGCATCGCCCTCCGGCCTGGCCTGCTTGCCTGGGCTGCTCGGTGCTGTTTGCCTGTCTTGGCCCTTGCTGCTCTGTGACCTGTCATTGTTTTCCTTCTGCAGTCTTCGTGTCCGAGGTCAGCACACCAAGACCACTGGCCGCCGGGGCCGCACTGTGGGTGTATCCAAGAAGAAATGAGTCGCTGGGCCTTCACTGTTAATAAATAGTTTATATGCCTGTGTCCTCCGTCTTTGTGTCTTCTCTGTGGTGGGGATGGTAGAGGGTGCTGCAGTGCCTTTGGTGTGGCCAAATTGGGATCTCCCGCCCTCTGAGCTGAGCTGAGGGCTATAACCCGGCGCCACTTCCTGACTGGGGAGCTTTCTGTCTGGCATAAGGTCACAGGAACAATCATTTGGTGAAACTGCTGCTCCACCCTTGGTAGGATTCGCGTCTGGGCGCTAACAGGAACCGGTGGCGCCGCCGGTGTGGGCAGCCTCGAGGGGGAGCCTGGGCAGCTTTCCGCCGGGTCCCCTTAGTTGGGGTGCAGAGCAGAGCGGTGGAAGTAGGTGCTGCTGCCCGGTGAGTTATTAACGCCGCTTGGCCGTTCTAGGGGTCCCTAGTGGGGGAAGTAGGTGCCAGTTTCCCCACATGCGGTTAGGGCTGGGCCAAGTGTGCGGAGCGCGATGCTTGGCGACTTCCGGCCGTCAGCGGCATGACGGGAAGGCAGCGGGGGAGGGGCGCGATGGAGGATCCGAGCTTGGCGTGCGGGCTGCGGCAAGGAAGCGGGTTACCGGGCCGTTGCGGTGGGCCTGGGGCTGCGCCTCTCGATCCGCCGGGCCCCCCGTGCACCGGCCCCCGTGTCTCCTCGGCAGCAGCTGGTTAGGGCTGCTCGCCTCCGCTCCGGGCGCTCTAACAGTTGTGCCCGCAGGTCCCCGCGCGCGGCTCGCCATGCCGCTCGGCCTCTTCCGGCGCCTCCTCCTGGCCGCCCTGCTGCTGGTGATCGTCTGGACCCTCTTCGGACCCTCGGGCTTTGGGGAGGAGCTGCTGAGCCTGTCCCTGGCGTCCCTGCTGCCCGCCCCAGCCTCCCCGGGGCCGCCCCTGGCCCTGCCCCGCCTCTTGATTCCCAACCCCCAGGCCTGCGGCGGCCCGGGCCCCCCGCCCTTCTTGCTCGTCCTGGTGTGTACGGCCCCGGAGCACCTGAGCCAGAGGCGCGCCATCCGGGGGTCTTGGGGCGCCATCCGCGAGGCCCGGGGGTTCAGGGTGCAGACGCTCTTCCTCCTGGGAGAACCCACGGGACAGCACGTCCCCGACCTGGCCTCGGAGTCGGCGGCACACAAGGACATCCTGCAGGCCGCCTTCCAGGACTCCTACCGCAACCTCACCCTCAAGACCCTCAGCGGGCTGAACTGGGTGCGGAAATACTGTCCCGGAGCCCGGTACATCCTCAAGACGGACGACGACGTGTACGTCAACGTCCCCGAGCTGGTGTCAGAGCTGATCCAGAGAGGGGGCCCTTCAGAGCGATGGCAGAAGGGCAGGGGGCCACAGGAGGGGACCACAGCTGCCCACGAGGAGCACCAAGGCCAGGCGGTGCCGCTTCTGTATCTGGGCCGAGTGCACTGGAGGGTAAGCCCCACTCGGACGCCAGGGGCCCGGCACCATGTGTCGGAAGAACTGTGGCCTGAAACCTGGGGTCCTTTCCCACCTTACGCCTCAGGCACAGGCTACGTGCTGTCCGCCTCTGCAGTGCACCTCATTCTGAAGGTGGCCAGCCGGGCACCCCATCTACCCCTGGAGGATGTCTTTGTGGGAGTAAGTGCCAGGCGAGGGGGCCTTGCCCCCACACACTGTGTCAAGTTGGCCGGTGCCACTCACTACCCCCTGGACAGGTGCTGTTATGGGAAATTCCTGCTAACATCTCACAGATTGGATCCTTGGAAAATGCAGGAAGCCTGGAAGCTGGTGAACCGACTTCATGGGGAAAGTGCTGAGCCCTTTTGCTCCTGGCCCCAGGCATTCCTGGGTGTCTTGAGGTGCCGGTTCATAGCCTGGCTCAACAGCTGAGCCCTGGGACCACAGAGGTCAGCATCTCAGAGACCTGTGCCCCAGAACCAGTGCCCAGGCTGCGGCTCTGTCTCTGTGTGATCCAGCTCCTCACAGAAGGCTCTGAAGCCTGCTAGGCGAGGCCTGGCCTGACAGCTCCAGAGACAGTCACCAGGGAGGGATAAGATGCAGCAAGGTGCCAGGGACTGTACTGTTGTCACCAGCCAGGGCAAGAGCCCAATAAACCTGTCTCTCCACCTCAAGTGCAGCTCTTCACCTGTCTTCACCAGCCCAGCAGCTCAAATACAGCTGTCCATCTTGGGCAGCCACTCTAATACAAAGTCTGAGGAAACTGAGGGGTAGGAGAGAGGCAGGGCGATGAACTGTCTACAATTTAACCCCAGAACTCAGGAGGCTGAGGCAAGAGGATCTCTGTGAGAGAGACCAGCCCCACACAAAGGGGAAACATTTCCAGCATGATGCAGACCCTTCTCCAAAACCTTCATACCCACCCTCCCAAGGAGCAGGCTGCACGCTGAGGTAAGACACAAGGCACACAGGGTGAATTCCCTTTAATTTACTTGACACATGGTGCTCAGGTGTCTGTCTGTGTGTGTGTGTGTGTGTGCTGCATGCCACCCTGAATGAATGTACACTAGTCCACAGAGAGCTAAAAGACAACTTGGGTGACAGGTTCTTTCTGCCATGTGTCTTCTGGGAACTGAGCTCAGGTTTGGCGCCTTTGCCCGTCTGACCCCTCTGAGTCATCTTGGGGAGTGCCGCCTCTGGCTCATCGTACAAATCTATCCAGTGCAGATGGGCGGGCTCTCGGGGGCTTGGTGGTCTCTTGCTTCTGTTGCTGCTGCTGCTCAAGGCTCTGCCTGACTTTGTCCTGGACACAAAATGGGGAGCACAGGACAAAGTGAGCAGAGGCTGGCTGTAAGGAAGGCTTCAGGCTGACCCCGGCCACCCGCCATTCACACACCCTGTGCTCCTGGTCCATGACCTTCTTTTTCCTCTTCACCAGGCTCGCTGTGGAGCTTCGGCCCTTCTGCTTTGCCTTGGGTTGGAAGGGAGCCTTGGCATCCGGGTCATAGCCCTGATAAGGGACAGGAATGAAATCAGAGTAGCCCCACCCACTAAGCTGCACTTCAAAATGGGACAGGGCACGGAGGTGAGGGCGACACTCAGGCAGGGGTGGAGGGCTGGGCAATTCCCGACAGCTCCATACCAGTCTCTCTATCCGCTCCTTCTTCTGCTGCTCCAGAGAGACCACATCTACCTCTGCCAGGGCTCGGGGGTCCAAACAGATGAGCTCTGCAGGAACCTGGGCAAGTCACAGGACAGAAACGGGTAAGGAGCCGCAGGGCTCCAGAAAGGGCTGAGGACAAGCAGGGCAAAGCCAGGAGCTCACCTTTTCCAGCAGGGCCTTCACCTCCCATTCCTGGCGCTGCTTCCGGCTCCTGTATGGGTTATTCTCCAAACCATCAAAGTTGGGCTCAGCGGACCCTGAGGGGAACAGGGCAGGAGGGATAGACAGGGACTGAACCTAGTCCTGCAGCTCTGGACAGACCAGGCCTCCCGGCCCCCCAGCTGTTATGCTCGTTGGCCCACTCACCAGGGACCAGCATGCTGGTGATGCCGCCACTGTGCCCCACCCCCAGCACATCTTCAAAGGGGCAGAATTGGAGTCCGTGCACTCGGCCTGAGAGCCGGTGGGTGAGGTAGGGCTGCTCCAGGGAGGGTGAGCTGGCCTTGCCCTGCCCTGCCCATATGTTGACCACATCACCCATTCCCGCGGCTAACAGTCCCCGCTGGGAGAAGGCCACATGTCCTGCTCCCTGGGGCAGGGTCCGGGCACTCAGGGGCTGGAATGTCCCTCGCAAGTCAAAGATTTTCAGCTGGTGGTCCAGGCCGGAAGTGGCCATGTACCTGCGTTGGAGACAGACCAATCAATCTCTAGTGGGCACTGACGGGACCTATGGCCAGGTCTGGACATGAAGGGCAAGACCAGCAACCACTCTGCACACTAAATGCTAATCCTCACACAGCTGACCCCACTGCTTCATTCATTCGAGATAGTCTCGCTGTGGAGCCCTGAACTCGGATCAGCCTGCCTGCACCTCCCAAACGCTGAGATTAAGGGTGTGTTCCCCAGTTTCCAAGGCCAGAGAGGAAATGTGGGTTAGACAGTGGCCGAGACAGACATCAAGTCTTTTGGGGTTTTGTTGTGGTTTGATGGAGGGGATTGAACTCAGGGCCTCATGCACGCCTGTTGGACAATGGCTCTACCCTTTCCTTCCTGCCCAGGCCTGTTTGGTGTCTGCCCCCATACCTACTGGCCCACACTGCCTCCCCCGAGTCACAGATGTGTAGAACACATACAGTCTGTATAGAAACATGCATTCTACTTCTGAAGGGCAGCGGGTGGCTCAACAAAGGTGCCCCCCCAGCAAGAGACCCGAGCTGTGACAGCGACCAACTGCGGGCAGACAGGGAAGACCCTGTCTTCAGGGGAAAAGGAAAAGGACTACGTGGGCTCCCCAAGCTGCACAGCTCATTAGCCCAGCGTCTCTCTGGCAGTGACATGACAGATGAAGGAGTAGCAAAGCAATGCTTGGCCAGTGTAGCGCTACCTCACAGGTACTCGGTTTCTTTCAGAGGAGAGAGGGGAGCTACAGGTAACCATGAAGGGACTGGAAAATTCTATGACAGAGCACAGTAGAGTCCCAGCAGGACAAAAAGGCTACTGGGCTAGCCATGGTGTGCACTCAGACAGGTCTCTGTGAGCTCGAGGCCAGCCTCGTTCACATAGCAAGTTCTAAGCCAGCCAGGGCTACACAGTGAGACCATGTGCCCTGCCAAAAATGCCATTGGTATAAACCAGAAATGACTGAAATGCTGGAGGGTGTCACATCCTCAGGTGGACGTGACACACAACTGTCTATGGGACCCAATGGTAAGTTCAGCCTGGCAGCCCTGCTGCTGGACACACAAGAAGCATTCCAGCCTCCAGAAGTCAATTCAGGGCTTCCAGAAAGCCTTGGGGAAGAGGCAGCTAAGAGGTAGCCTAAGGAGAACCAAAGCTAATCAGGGACAGAGTGTTCCTGACTACGGTGCTTACCAGGCAATGAAACCCTGGGCAAAAGAGCTACAGGCCAAAAAAAAAAGAAAAGAAAAAAGAAAAAGTCAGGCGTTGGTGGCGCACACCTTTAATCCCAGCACTCGGGAGGCAGAGGCAGGCGGATCTCTGTGAGTTCGAGGCCAGCCTGGTCTCCAGAGCAAGTGCCAGGATAGGCTCCAAAGCTACACAGAGAAACCCTGTCTCGAACACCACCCCCCCCCAAAAAAAAGAGCTACAGGCCCTGGCAGGGTGAGCTACAGCTCAAGTCTAGTGGCCACTAAAGGCACAAAGCTTCCCGTTAGCCTCCCTACTCTCCAGAGCTAAGCTGGCACAGATGGAGAGATCAGGCAGAATCAAATCCTGTGTTCACAAACACAATGGCAGCAGCCAGAGCAATCTCAGCATCTTGAAGGCTTCTGTGCATTGGTAATGTTCAGGCTTTCCCTGGCTTGCCTCCTCGTTTACTGCTTTGTTTTGGCTTTAAAAAGTTTTTTAAAAAGCTAGTGCACTGGTGGGACACAGCTTTAATCCCAGCACTCTCTGCATTCTAGACTAGTCTGAAACCCTGTCTCATAAAACCAAAAAATAAAAATAGAAAGAGGGACGTGGCTTCATCGGTGTCAGAGGGTGACTTGTAGTGAATTCCTCTGGAAACAGCTCAGGGACATGCCACGGAGAACTGGCAGCACGTGCATGTCAGGAAGGGCACAGATAGATGGCGTGAGCTCCCAGAGGGACAAGGAACAGCAGGCAGGACTTCAGAGGCAGCCACAAGCAAGACTGAGATAACCAAAACAAGTGCCAGACCTGGGCTCAGAAAGCATGGAGAACATGAGTATTGACTGCTTTCAATATGTAGCCCACACTAGTTTTGAACTTTGAATCCTGCTGCCTTGGCCCTCTGGCTGCTGGGATTAAAGTGTGCACTGCCAGGCCCCGCTCAGGCAATCAATGCTTTTGATTCCTGATGAACCTGGGAACTGTGGCACACAGCAGGCTGAGGCAGGAGGCTTGCTCCATGTTCTGGGCTGCCTTGAATTATGGAGCAAGACAGCTCCCATCCCCACACACGAGTTAGTGTAGTCAGCCTGCCTTTAACTGTTATCAGTCATTAAGTGAGTTCAGGAGCAGTCTGGGCAGTGCATAGCAACCAGGACACACTGTGTCATCGTCATCAGATGTCAGTCCAGATCTAGCTAGGTGGGGGGTTGGGGTGGGTGTCCAACATTCCCCATGACTGCTGTGATTTGCATTTTCTTCTTAATCCCTCTCATCCTTCAGACACAGAGCACCTCTGGCAGCAAGGCTCTGGGCTGACCTGTGGACATTAGCATGGATCCCAGACTCTACCCTCATGGCGAAAGAGGAGTTGGATTCATGTTGGGGAAACTTTTCTGAAAAGGAATGGGAAAGCCAGGCAGTGGTGGCGCACATCTTCAATCCCAGCACTCAGGAGGCAGAGGCAGGCAGATCTCTAAATTCCAGGACAGCCTGGTCTACAGGGTGAGTTCCAGGACAGCCAGGGCTACACAGAGAAACCCTGTCTCAAAAAAAAAAAAAGGACTGGAACAGACGACAAGTGATGAGTCGAGCAAGAGACCCACCAAAAGTCTTCAGTGACAAAGCACTACCAGACAGAAGCGAAGGCACCACCTGGGAAGCACTCCCCTCCATGCGGCCTGCGCTCCTGTCTGCGCAGCCACACCCAACACCTCATCCCCAGACAAGTGACTTACGTGCCTGTGGAATCCACTGCCACAGCCCGCACTGCACCACGGTGACACAGAATCTTTGCCAGTGGCTCTTTCACAGCTGGGCTCCACAAAGACACGGTGCCTGGAAGTTGAGGGGAGAACCCAAGTCACTAATACAAACTGGCCTGGGACTCCTGCTGTTGTTTTAGCCTAAGGTTATTAAATGGAGGAAAGATAGAAGCAAGATGAAGGGGTGAAGGGTGACTTCCAGGGACTTGAGTGGCTAGAGTCCCTCTGAGTGGAAGACTGGTGTCCTCTTGTGTGCACACAGCCCTGGGCTCAGTTCCCAGCACCACAAAATGTGTTCATAAAAGCAGGAGAGAAGGGGGCTGGAGAGATGGCTCAGCGGTTGAGAACACTGACTCTTCTTCCAGAGATGCTGAGTTCAATTCCCAGCAACCACATGGTGGCTCACAACCACCTTGAATGAGATCAGGTGCCCTCTGCTGGCCTGTAGGCAGAAGACTGTATACATAATAAATAAAATCTTAAGAAAAACAAAAACAGGAGATAAGTCAGTCAAGCTGGCACACTCGAAGCTCCTGCTATGTGCAAAACTGAGGCAGGGTGGTCATTGGAAACATGGGTTGTGATGGGTACCTGATGTATTTGATATTTGTACACCGTGTGACGGTGTATTGCTGTGATTGGTGTGATTAAAAAGCTGAATGGTCAATAGACAGGCAGGAGACATAGGTGGGACTTCCGGGCAGAGAGAGAGAATCATGGAACAAGGCAGAGTCACCACCAGACACAGAGACAACAGCATGGACAGTACAGAGAGATGAGGTAACAAGACAGGCAACAGAACAGAGATAATTATAAATGGGTTAAAGCAAGTAATAAGAGCTCACGGGACAAGCGTAAGCTAAGGCTAAGCTTTCGTAATTAGAATGTCTCCATGCTGTTATTTGGGAGCTGGCTGGCAAGAACTAGACCCTGTCTTTTTTTTTTTTTTAAGATTTTATTTATTATGTATACAACATTCTGCTTCCATGTATATCTGCACACCAGCAGAGGGCACCAGATGGTTGTGAGCCACCATGTGTTGCTGGGAATTGAACTCAGGACCTCTGGAAGAGCAGCCAGTGCTCTTAACCTCTGAGCCATCTCTCTAGCCCCAGACCCTGTCCTGAAAAGAAGAAAAGCAGGCAGGAACTGACCATTACTGTGTCCGAGGTGGATGACAGCGTTGTACGGGTTCTGCGCCATGACGCTGAGCCGTCCAGCCCGCGCATTGAGAGCTGTCACGATCTTCCCCACAGACACGTCCAGGTAGGTCAGAAACCCCGTCTCTGACTGAGAGAGAACGACATGCCTAGCTGTCCTGTGTTCCTCTACAGGTCCTAAAGGATAAAGGTCCTCCCAAGGACGGCCGCAGCGCCCTCTGCTCCTCAGCCACTCACACAGGTGGCCAGGAGGAAGTGAAAGGGGAGAAACTCAAGCCGAGTCACTCGGTCGCAGCGGCGGATGCAATGGAGCTCGATGCCCTGGTTATCATAGATGTAAAGCCAGCGGTTCTGAGCGACAGCGAGCAGAGCCTCAGAATGGAGGAAGCTGGGTAGAAAGGGGGAGGAATTTCATGGAGACAGGACCCCAGGGGTCATCCAGCTGGGACCGGGCTGACCCACTCCCACCGACTGCCAGCAAGGAAACACTGACTGGATGTCCTGCACGGCTTCCATGACGTTGATCTCACACATGAGCTTCTTTGTCACCCAATCGAGGGCAGCCACATGACCCCGACGACCTCCTAATGCCAGGTGTCTGTGAGAGGAGAAGCAAAGGCAGCGTTGATGAAGGGAGCCTGAGCCTGGACCCCAGCGCCAGGGGAAAGCATAGCGTTAGGCCTGAGCCTGGACCCCAGCGCCAGAGGAAAGCATAGCGTTAGACCTGAGCCTGGACCCCAGCGCCAGGGGAAAGCATAGCGTTAGGCCTGAGCCTGGACCCCAGCGCCAGAGGAAAGCATAGCGTTAGACCTGAGCCTGGACCCCAGCGCCAGGGAGGCCAAGACAGGGAGACAGTTCTTGCTGAACACCAGTCTAGGCAGCCAAGGAGCTCCAGGTTCAGTGAGGAACCCTGCTCAAAAATAAGGTGGATGGACTAAAGAAACGGCTCAGCGGTGAAAAAAACTTGCTGCCCCCACAGAGAACACTGGGTTCAGGTCCCAGCACCCCACATGTCAATTCACAACCAAACCATCCGAAACCCCGATTCCTAGGGATCTGATGCCCTCTTCTGACTTCATGATACCAGGCACACATGTGAGGCTCATTCATGCAAGTGAAATACTCATGTATATAAAATAGTAAATAAAACCTTATAAATTTGTCAGAAAATAAAGTGTACATCCAGCAAGAAGGCTCAGTGGCTAAAAGCACTCACTGTGCAAGCCTGGTGACCTGCATTTGAACTCCAGAACCCACATAAAGGCAGATGCAGAAACATGACTACACTAAGCTGTTCTCTGAGCCCTCCCCCCCACAGTGTGTCATGGGCACGCACAAGCACGCTCAGACACACGACAATACAATAAAAAGGAATAAATGGGAAGCAATACGTGAAGATACCACACTGACCTCTGGTAATCACACGCATACACATCCATGTGCAGGCACACCAACACGTGAACATGCACACATTCAAAAATGTCCTGCAGCAGGGCGTTGGTGGCACACGCCTTTAATCCCAGCACTCGGGAGGCAGACGCAGGGGGATCTCTGAGTCTGAGGCCAGCCTGGTCTACAGCGTTAGTGACAGGATAGGCTCCAAAGCTACACAGAGAAACCCTGTGTGTGTGTGTGTGGGGGGGGGTCCCTAGAAGCTGAGGGGCTAAGGGAAGGCACAGGTCAGTAGTCAAGTGCATGCTCTGCACGCTCACATACAAGGTCACTTGTTCCATATCCAGAAAAAAAAAAAAAGAGCTCAATATTCTCCAGCTCACGCTGTGATGAGCCCCCACCACAATACGATACATCTTTCTGAACTGTAGGCCAAAATTAAGCCTTCTCCCCTTAGAAACTGGGCAGGGGAGGTACGGGAGAGGCCGCGCAGAGGGGCGGAGCAGAGCTAGGAGTGTGCACTCGTGTCCTGCACCAGCCCCAGCCCCAGAGGAGAGGAAGACAGATGACCACAAAGGCCAGGTTCTCTTGTGGCCTTTGTACAAAGAGGGAAGAGCCACTGGAACTCAGCCTTACCTCCCTGTCCTAGAGTAGTTCAGTCTGTAGGGCCCAAACTGCCTCAGATTCAGGTCAAAGTGCTGGGAAGGGGTGGAAAATAACCGTGAGAGAATGAACTCCCCAAGCAGTCTCCGGGGCCCCCCGCCCCCCCCCCCGCGGCTCACCTTGGCAGCACTTGCAATGTCCACAGCCTCCCTCCCCCCCCGCGGCTCACCTTGGCAGCACTTGCAATGTCCACAGCCTCCCTCCCCCCCCGCGGCTCACCTTGGCAGCACTTGCAATGTCCACAGCACCCACGACGTCCGTCTGCAGTATCTTTGCTGTGTCTTCCCCATCTTCTCCCTCCAGGAACCTGAAAGGCAGTCAGGACGACTGAAGTGACGCTCCGCTGCATGCAGCCGGCTACAAACATAAAACCCGCAAAAATCAAAGCCCCAGAAAGGCAGGGGCCGCTCACCCAGGTTCCTCGGTTAGCAGCAGCTCTGCGCGGGCAGCTCTGACGCTCGCCTCTTCCTCCTGCGCTTCAGCCGTCTCAAGTTTGCTCCGGGTTTTCGGCTTCGAATGCGGGAGCTACGGCATGGTTGCCAAGGTTGGCGCACCGAGCGAGCATCCGTGAGGTGCCAGCAAGGCCGCCAGCAGACAAGGCGCCACCCACCTCCTCACCCAGCCTCCAGTCCCTGCCTCCCCACGGTCCCCGCGGCCTCACGGTTCTGGACTTGTCAATTCGGCAGAACTTCCGGGCGCCCTCCACGGGGGCGGGGGCGGGTCCCGGGAACGGGTCCTGGGCCTAGCGAGGGGAAGGAGACGGGCAGACTCGATGGGCCCGGTTCCTCTGGTCCTCAGAGGCGCGGGGCCACCCTGTCAGCCCCAGGCTCACCCCAGACAGGGTCCGCTGCGGCCTCCTCTTCGGGTCTGGGGCGTCCTTCGGGGCCCGCGGCTTCTGGCGGAGCCGAGACTTCTTGGCGGGGTGCGCGCTCTTTGACCTCGGGGGTCGCGGCTCCCGAGTCCTCGCCTTCTTCCGGGGCGGCCCCGGAGAGGCGCCGGCTGCGGCGGGGGGGGCCTCCCCCTCCCAGTACCTCTGTGGCTTCTAGGGGCACAGGAGGAGGCAAGGGCTCGCACCCGCCGGACCCGGAGCCCGAGCCCGATCGGAAGCCCCGAGCCCGAGCCCGATCGGAAGCCCCGAGCCCGAGCCCGATCGGAAGCCCCGAGCCCGAGGGCGGCGTTCGCCTCCACCCAAGCCGCTACCTTCCTCTTGGCCTGGGGCTTGTCCTCCTTGGGTGGGCCACCCCTGCCCGGCTTCGGAGCTGTCTCCATCGCGGCTGTGACCGACGCCAAACAACGATCCACGTGCGAAACTGCCCTCGGCAGCCCCACGGCCCTCTCAGAAACTTCCGGGCGTCCCACGGCCTTCACCCAATCACCGCCGGACGGGAGTCTGAAGCCGCCGGCGCCATCTTGAGTGAGGGCACGCCTGTGCCAGACTGAGCGGAGAGGCTCGCCCGAGGACCAAATGAGGACTAAAAGGCAAGTCTGGGCCCCGAATCCCGGTAGCGACGAGTTCCTTTTTTTCTGCCTTGCCTAATAAAACCCCTCGGGTGCAGTCTTTTCGGTAGGACGAGTTTCCCACAGGTCAGAACGCAGCTTCCGGCGCCGTCTCTGTCCCGGCATGCCTTGTCTACTTCCGGGTGCGTTTAGACAGTGGGCATAACGTGAGGAGGTTGGGGGTCTGGCTTGCGGGAGGGTTTGGGGTTCTGCTTTCGCCCCCCGCTTCCCAGGGGTGTCTCCTGGACGAGGAAGAGCTGCGGAGCCTCGAGGAGCTGCCGGCGGACGCGCAGGGCAGAGAGGGGGGGGGCGGGGGGTCCCTTCCCCTGCCCCCTCGGGGCCCCGCGGGCGCCCCGCCCCGCCCCGGAGGCTCGCCCTCCTCACACCGCCCCGGAGGCTCGCCCTCCTCACACCGCCCCGGAGGCTCGCCCTCCTCACCGCCCCGCCCCGCCATGGCCGAGCTGATCCAGAAGAAGCTGCAGGGAGAAGTGGAGAAATACCAGCAGCTGCAGAAGGGTAAGAGAGAGAGCGGAGGCGGCGTGGCCTTGCCCCGTCCGCCCTCAGCTCAGGCACACCCCACGAGACGTCGTGCTCCCTCGGGGGCCCTGCGGGCCGCCCCTGGCGTCGGGGGCCCTGCTCGTCCCCACCACCGACCGACCCAGCCTCTCCGCTGCAGACCCGGTGACGTCTCGAGCCCGTGCTGGGTGCGGTTCTCGGCCCGTCTGATGCCTTTAACCATGCGTTTCCTCTCACCACCTCAGACTTGAGCAAATCCATGTCAGGGAGGCAGAAGCTCGAGGCACAGCTAACAGAAAATAACATCGTGAAGGAGGTGAGGACCTGGGGCGCCGGGGCCGAGAGGAACGCGGCCGGGCACGGTTAGCTCATCAGCCGTCCGTCCCATCCCCTCTCCAGGAACTGGCCTTGCTGGATGGATCCAACGTGGTCTTCAAGCTCCTGGGGCCCGTGCTTGTCAAACAGGAGCTAGGGGAGGCTCGGGCCACGGTGGGGAAGAGGCTGGACTACATCACCGCCGAAATGTGAGTGCCTACCCCGTGCTGGGTAGCTCCCCATAGCGCCCCGCTCCCCTGGAACTCCCTGTGTAGACCAGGCTGGCCTCAGGGATGGGCTTAAAGGCGCCCCCGCTTAAGCCTTTCTTCCACGTTACACGAGTGTGGGGGGTGGGGGGACATGTGTCCGTGGCACACATGTGAAGTCAGAGGACGGCCTGCGGCAGCCTGCTCCTTCCTACCACGTGGGTTCTGGAGACTGAAGTGTCAGCCTCGGAGGAGAACGGTCCAACCCACTGATCCATCTCACCAGCCCTCAGTGTGCCACCCCCATCCCCCAAACCTCGGAATTCCCATCAGTCCCCCAATGCCGCGCAACAGTGAGCCCCCACTGATCTCTCTTCTGCTTGTCTCCCCTTTCCCTCCTCAGTAAGCGCTACGAATCGCAGCTGCGGGACCTTGAGAGGCAGTCAGAGCAACAGAGGGAAACCCTTGCTCAGCTGCAGCAGGAGTTCCAGCGAGCCCAGGCAGCAAAGGCTCCTGGGAAGGCCTGACCCCATGGAAGGGGGAGAGGAGGGAGGGCTGAGTCAGCTCCAGGGTCTACACTAGAATAGCCAATAAAATGTAAACAAAACCAGTGCCTTGTACACACTCTTTTTCCCTGAGATAGAGCTCTTGACACTGGAATCTCTGGCCGTGTTTCAGTGGTGGTTTTCCTGGTGCTGAGAACTAAAATCCGGGTCTTCTTGCCTATGTGCCTTCTTTTGAGTCTGAAATGTCTCAAGCTGTTTCTTGCCTGTTCATATAACCCTTTATCTTCCCTTATGTTGGCTGGTGCAACCCTGAGATGGGAAATATAACCTTAGGATGCAATGTAGTGTGTTGTTAAGTGTCAGTTTAGCCATAGAACCCAGTTCTCTAGCCTGAGAGCCCAGGATATGATGTGGTCACCCAAGAGCACTTGTCCCCAAAGGGCCCTAGATCATTAGCTTGTCTTCACCGCTGTCTTAGCATTGGTTTGAATCTAACTTGTTTGTTTTGGTTTGTTTGAGACAGGGTTTCTCTGTGTAGCTCTGGCTATCGTAGATCTCGCTCGCTCTGTAGACTAGGCTGGCCTCAAATTCAGAGATCCTCCTGCCTCTGCTTCCTGAGTGCTGGGGGTTAAAGGTGTGCACCACCACCACCACCACCAGGCTGAATGTAACTTTTATATTTTTTTAAAGGTTTTATTTATTCATTATGTATACAGTCTTCTGCCTGCATGACAGCAGAGGGCACCAGATTTCATCCAAGGTGGTTGTGAGCCACCATGTGGTTGTCGGGAATTGAACTCAGGACCTCTGAAAGCACAGTCAGTGATCTTAACCACTGAGTCATCTCTGCACAAAATTGTTCTTTCATTTCTTTGTCCCAAATTATTTCTTAGACTCTATCTTGAGGGACATCTGAAGTGACCTCTGTCCTTCAGGAGCCCCTGCTCCTTAAGGTCTGTGACAAGAGAAAGCAGTCTATAAAGGAGCCAGGAGTGAAGGTCACCAGGTTAACTGTCACCTGTACCTTGCTCTCAGGTCCCAGAGCCAAGCTTGTGCACGCTGCCAAGCAGGTCACCACTGAGCTATGCCAGGGACCTGGGAGTGGAGTCACTGGTGCTTGTTCTCTGCCTCCTTTCAACCCACTCTAGTACCCAGTTGTGTGCACTGAAGGATGGGAACAGAATTCAGGTAGTGTTTTGGTTTATTATAGTGTTGTCACAGTGACAAGAACCCCCCGGGTGGACAAGAAAGTCCCAACAGAACGTCTTGTCATTGTCCTCTGCCCTGGGCTCAGAGCCTCTGGGCCTTTCCTTGGCCCTTCACAGGCTAGCATGTGGCAGGAGCTAGCACTCTTCTCAACACTGACGGTACGCCACATTCCCCAGAGGTGGAAGCCATATGCAGGGATCCAATGTGGCTATATGACCACCAGTCCCACGGGGTTGGCTTTCGAGGTGGTTTGGTAAACAAATGGCACTTGGCTGGCCCGGAGCTGCTGGCCACCTTTCGGGCTTTCTGCCCTGGAGTGATGGCTACCACTGGTGGCTGCTCACACCTGGTGTGAGTGCTGTGATTTCTGTAAACCAACAGGACTTCATCCTCAGAACAGGGCCCGTGCAATCTTCCTCCCTGTGGCCTTAATCCTGGGAAAGGAGCCCCCTCCTCCCTCGCTTGGGGGAGTTCCTGAGGCAGAGGGGCCGGTGTGGGCCCCTGGCGTGGCAACAGAGGTCCTTCTGCGCTGCCGTAGGAGGAAATCGTGAGATGAGCCATCCATAGCATAGAAGACGTTAGCGGAGGGCGGGATGGTTAGCTCTGTGGGTTCAGACGTAGTGTCAAGCATTCGTCCTCCCCCCACTTCCCGGTGCCAGGTGACAACACACCCTTCCCTCTTCCCCTGGCTGCTCACCTCGCTCCCCGGGCAGCAGCTGTACCAGCTCAAACTCTGAAGCCACTGCAGAGTCACGATTGTTTTTCTTAAGGACACGGCTAATGACACTGGGAGCCTTGTCCTGGCTTGTCACCTTGGAAGAGAGACCAGAAGAGAAGTGAGTATACCACGGTGGCCTGTTTCCTATCCTTCCAACCCAGCCAAAAAGAGGTCACCTGTGTCCAATGCTTTAAAATGAACAGGAAACCCCATATGGTGGTTGCCAGTGCCCCATAAGCCAGCCCACACGGTGCCCGGTACAACAAGGATGCTTCCCTGCAGGAAAACTGGCTGCTACAGTGTCCCACGGAAGCTACAATTGAGTCCTGGCTGCCCAAACCCGGCACTGATGTCTGATACAGCCAGGTCCTTCCCACCTGCCCAGCCCCAGGGTCCCTCACCAAGATGCTCTTGTAGACGCTGCCGTCTTCTCCCAGCTCCATCTGGACTCGGATAATTCGGCAATCAGAGGACTCTGGTCCGGATACCCCTCCCCCATATCCAGCACTCCTAGAGGCCCCCTCTCCTGTGCCCCCGCTCAGTGGAGATCCACAGGACGCTGAACGGCGGTGACCTCGGGAAGGCCTAGGGGAGGAGGCTGGAGGAGACAGGTGGCTAGGGCCAGCAGCACCGTGCAAGGAGGGGCTGCTTTCCAGGGCAGAGTCCAGAGATGAGACGGACGGCCACTTCATGTGCTGGGGGCAAACAGGTGAGGTCGTGAAGGGAGGGAGACAAAGAAAAAGGTCTAGGTGTAGTCAGAGTTAAGATCTGAGTGGACTCACCTGGGCCAGCCGGGTCAGCAGAGGCGCGGGGGTTCCGGGTGCCTCATCTCCAACACTGGGCCGATCCCAGGACACAAGAGGGGTGGGGCCTCCAACAGAGCCCAGAACTCTGGAGAGGCAGGAAATTAGACAACACAGGGGCAATGGCAAGTCCCCGGGAAACCAGCCCCAGCCGGCAGTGCTCCTACTCTGTCCACTGTGAGACCACTAGCGTCGGCCGAAGCATCCGTGCAGCCGGAGAGTCACTGGTACCAGGTGGTTCCACGTCACAGGACACACGGTGACTGGAAAGCATAGTCATGGGTGGAGGTCACAACATGCCACCAACACATCACACCCACGTCCCCCAACCTGAGCCCTAGAACCCAACCACCCAGCCAGTCACCTCTGAGCTTCAGTTAATGGCTGGAGGCCCTGGAGCCATTGTTGGATATCGGGGTCAGGTCGGAGGTCATAGCCACGACATTCGTTCTGGAGGCGCAGCAGCTCCGAAAGGACAGCAAACTCCTGGGAAGGAGCCCTCAAACTGCAGGAGCCAAAACTCAGGGACCCCTGAGTTTGCCTCCCTCTCCCCATTCCTGGGACAGACAGGGAGCCCCGTAGTCATCTTACCTTCCTCCGCTTGTCAAAATTAATGTAGCCGTTCTGCAAGGGCAGAAGGAGAGGGGTGAAAGCGCTAACCCTGCTCGGGCACAGAGCACCCGCTCTCCCCAAACACAGCCAGTGCAGGAGCCACTCAGACCCTGGGAGTCCACCCTCTCCCTCCCATTCATATCCCAGCCCAAACTCGTCATGAGACAAGGTCTCACTGTGTGTAGCCTTGGCTGGCCTAGAACTCACTATGTAGCCCAGGCTGCCCTCTTCCCCCTGAGTACAGTGCTGGGATCCCAGGTGACGCTCAGCTCCACCCAAGGCTTTAAATTCCTGTCTAAGAGAAAGCATCTAACTTCTAGATGAGACATTGGGCTCACGGCAGGCACAGAACTTCCTGGACGCCTCAGTATTTTCCTTTGTCTGCAGTACTGGGGGTGGAACCCAGGCTCTTGAGCATGCTCGGAGGCCCTCACACTCTTTGCACATTTAATAGCCTGCGTATGCATTTACCCCTCCCATTAGATAACAGGACATACACAGACAGACCCCTGAAGTACAGAGGTTGGGAGGTTGGACTATGTGCCAGGGTAACAGAACCTGGCTCCAGAAACTCTGCTGCTTCTGCCCTGTAGCCTCTCTGTGGAAGGGTGTCTGTCTGACCCTTAGGTGCACTTGTCAAGCCTTCCAGAACAGAGTCCTCCCTGCCCTCCCTTCTTCCCTCCCCCCCCTCTCTGTCTCTCACACGCACGCACGCACACACCAACCACTGACCTCCAACTCATCCTTGGAGGCTGCATCCAGCATCACGAGATCCTTCAGGAAGGTCCCTAGGTATGGAACCACACCCTGCAGAGGGGTCAGGGTCAGACTCCTGTCAGGACACAGCTTTTCTCTCCCTTCCCTCCACACAGAACTGTCTTCATTCACCTCACCGGGTGAGCCGAGCCGAGGCGCCCCTTCCAGTCCCAGGGTCACTCACCCCACCCCTGGAGCCAGACCTTGGGGCTTTCTTGGAGTGTGGCTCTGCAGGGGGCTGCAGCTTCACTTCCTGGTGGTGACAAACAAGGTGACAGGAGGAGGGGGCTGGGCGGGGGCTGGGGAAGGGCTGGGGAAGGCAATACTAGCCTCACCTGCGTGAGGAGCTCTCTGCTCTGAGAATAATTGTCCTCCTCTGAGAAAATCTGGCACAGGCTGGAAAAGACTCTGAGGCTGTCCCTAGGGGGAAAGAGCGGGGCTCTGAGCACAGGCCTGGCTCAGCTTCTGCACCCAGGCTTCAGGCACTTGGGGTCTCCCACCTGGCTGCTTCCCCCCAGGCTGCCCGAAGCCTGTGGACAGGGCTGGACTGCAGGGCCGACACGACAGCATAGACTGAGGAGAAGTTCCGAAGCAGACGGCACTCCTGTGAGGACGGAAAACCCAGAGTCAAGGCTGTGGGCCCTCCCCACACCACCACCGTCCCCAGCCAGCAGGGCGGGGCCTCCCCACGCCACCGTCCCAGCCAGCAGGACTGCTCTCTTACCTCCGCCACACGGATCCACTTCTCCAAGAGCCGGGCCCTCTGCGGGGGTCGGAGTGGCCTCACGGTCACCTCACCTGGCCCCTCTCCAATTGAGGTGGCCCCCAGCACGGAGCTGACTACTGCCCCTGCCACCTTGTTGAACTGTGTGACAGTCGCTCGGACAGATGGGCAGAGGTGAGAATGTCCTGGCCGGTCTCTGTGACCCCACAGGCCTCCCAGACACTGAGAGGGGATCAGATTGAGAAACAGCTCCTGCAGGGCAGAGGTCACAGGTTAAAACTTATAGTCAAGCCAGGCAGGTTCCCAGTATCAGGGATCTGAGGCTCTTAAGTGACCAGGGACCAGCAGGGCACACAGCTCGAGGATAACAGCCAAGGGGAGGAGGGAAGGGAGGAAGGCCAGAGCAGAAGATGGAAGAAGAGCTCCAGGAAGCAAGGAAAGGATCTGGAGCCAAGGAGAGGTTAGTAAGGGGTCAGAGAGCACAGGGTCAAAGGTCAAGGTCTCACCGCATCTAGCAGGGTCAGCTGTTCGGCCAAGTGGTCAGCGAGGAACACCAGGACATCCGTGGGGTCAGCAGGGGAATCGCCAGGAAGGGCCAGGGGCTTAGGAAGGTTGGGGGCCCGGGGATCTACCCGGGCCCGGAGGTTTCGGATGAGGTCAGCACTGCCCCCCCCAACACCCTCCTGTGCTGCATACCCTGTCCGAAGCAAGAAGCTCTCAAGCCGGTCAAGCTGACCCTTGACCTCAGAGCCAAAATCCTCAGGGTGAGAGGCCAGCCAGGTTGAAAGCACGGAGATGGCTACCCTGGGAGAAGGGGAACCAGCCGAGGGTCAGAGGTCCAACCTCAGCTTCCTCAGAGGGGACTGACTGAGGTGGTCAGGGGCCACTCACCCTGTGGTCCTCTCTAGCTCACCAGGAGGCTGCGACTCGAGGGCTTCCAGCCTGGGGATGAGGAGAGGGTCTACCTATGCGGCCTTTTCAACCCCCGGGCGCTGTGAGGGCTCACAGGAAGTCCAGGAGGCCCCTCAACCCTTGGTCCCTCACCTGTCAGCCACAAGCCCAAGCAGGGCAGGCGTGGAGGTGAAGGCCCGGTGGGTGGCCAGCAAGGCTGGAGTGAAAGTCACGTCAACCCCTGACGTCCGGGCATCCAACAGGTATCTGACCAGGGCCTCCAGAGTGCCAGCGCGGAGCCGCCGGGAGGAACGAGGCGGGGGCAGGGGGGCCTGGAGAACACGGAGGGTGCTCACTGACCTCAGTCTCACTGCTCCATGTCCAGCATAATCCGGACTTAGCTCTTTTTTTTTTTCTTTCTTTTTCTTTTTTTTTTTTTTTTTTTTTTTTTTTTTTTTTTTTTTTTTGCCAAGGTTCAGAAAGGACAGGGTCCATGGCTTAAATCACACCACTCGGGGTCCTAGACTCCAGCCCTCCAGCCTAGTGTTCTGGCCAAAAAGAGAGAAAAAAAAGCCAAAGAAAGGGTCAGAGGTGAGAAGTCAAAATCATGATCTCACCAAGGGATCAAGAGGCCGATACTGGCGGCTTGTGACAGTAAAGGTGGCACCATCCTCCTCCTCATCCCACACAGACACAGGAGCCTGGAGGAGCAAGCAAGAGGAAGTCAGGCCCACAGCACCTCAGTCCCCGGTCCCCAGCCACTGTTCCCCAGGCCCTGCTCCTCCCTTTGTACCCCTCACCTGTGATGGCAGGGGACAATACCAGCGAGTACGAGGGGTAGAGGGTGCTGGTGACCCCAGGTCTACCCCCCACTGGGGCTCAGACAGCCCCCCAACCGCCTCAGAGCTCGGTGGGGCAGAGGAGGCTGCAGGCTCACGCCCAAATCCCCTTCCCCCCACAGCTGAGCCCAACACGGCCGAAAAGGCAGGGCGCCAGGAGAGGCACAAAGCCAAAGGCAGGAGAGACCTGAAGCAGGGAGAAGCCGAAACTTCACACGCCCGTCACAGGCCGTCACATGCCCCGCCCTCCCTGACTGAACCAGAGGAGCCCAAAGCGAGTCTTCTCCATAGACCGACTGACTGACTCCCTTTCCCCAGTCTCCCGAACGCCAGTGCGGCGTCCACTAGATCCCAGCACCGGGACCCTCTGGAGGCGGCGGCTCGGATCCCAGGCACAAGAAGGGGAAGTGAGGATGGCGGTGGGGCAGCGACAGACTCAGAGTCATGTGGCCCTAGCCCCTCCCCCGACCAATCCCGAAAAACCAGCCTTGCGGGTCACCTAACTTCACCCGTGCGGGGACCCAGGCCGGAGTCGGTCCGGGGCCTCCTGGGCTCCGAGTCTGACTTCCAGACCCTCGCGGGGCCCCCAGCCCTGCTGCTGGCCACGACGGCTGTCCCTAAGGACGGAGGTGACCGCTGTCCCGCTAGGCCGGGACCGTCTCTCCAGGTGTGCCACCCGAGGCTCGCTGCCCGCACTCGCGCACTGGGGGCGGGGGAAGGGGCGGCGAAACCTGAGGTTTCCCTCCCGAATCCTAGAGGCCGAGG